ACATTATACTGTTCATATCCGTATCTGTGACGAATATAAAAATGTTAATTGTAATGTGTCACAGTATGTCCAGACACATTATTGATAAATATCTTAACTGTTTTCTATCATTTTCACTTATTAAAGACAATGTGTTATAGTGTAAAGTATTTTTTAACAATAATCAAACAAAAAAATAAATTTTTAATTTTACCTTGAACTGTTAGAAAAATTCGTTTTGTTTTTCTTGGTTCAGTATTTATTTGACATTGATATTCACCTTGATCATCTTCATTAACACGATCAATTATTAAATTATATGATCCAACATAGTCCGATTCAAGACGATAATGATCTTTATTTGAATAGACTATACCATCGAAAGCAATCAATGTAAGTTGTTCTTGTTGCTGTTGTTGTACATTTGTTTGATTTCCGCCTACAATTGGTCGATCTATTTTTTGCCATAGAACCTACATATATATACAATTCAATTATTGATTATTAATTCACTATGATTGGTCAATATATTTTAGCCTTGTAAATCGAACATACTCAATTCACAAGAGACATATAATCGTCATCTGCATATGGACATTTAAAATTTTGATTGTCATCATCTAAGCAATATGTTGCGCATAACAATATAAATACCAAATTGCCCATATCGGACAACATCTGTACACATATATATATATAAAGAAAGAAATCTTTTCTATGGCCGGTCATTTCAATAAAGATCGATGACCTTGTATGTGTACAATAGGTCGTATTTGTTTTTCTTCTTCATTCTAAACACTTGATATCAAAGCGGAAGAGAACGAGAATATTATTAGCTTTTTTCGGACACGATAGTAAATGAAATTTTAGAAATTTCCATACTATGAACAATTTAATAACTGACATACACACACATATATATATATAGAATTCATTCAATAAGTTAATTTATGCCTGGTATCTTCAATGTTTATCTTTGTATTACCACATCAAACCAGACATAGAATAGTTAGATTCTTATCATTGATTGGAAAAGAGAGGGTGGGAGTGATATCAATCTAATTAGCTCATCTTGAATGGATGCGACTATGATAACATACAGCACAAATGTTGGTTATCAACATACACACATAGAAAAGTTTGTTGAACCAACAAACAGTAGAATTACGTCTGGTCAACAGATCATATTGCAATAGACATATACATAGAAAAGTAAAGGAAGAAAGTGATGACAGAACCAATGTGGTTGTTATTTCAACGATAGAATAAAATGATTAAAAACTTACTTTAAATGAACGAACTTCAGCCACATAACAAGTTAAAACACATTTACCACTAACAGGTACTGTATAATATTCTGTTGTTGTATCAAAAGCCACAAGAGAACCAGCTAAATGAACAAGGATATATAGTAACAACATAATTTTCTTCTGTTCTTCTTTGGACAAGGTGTCAAGTAAAAATGGACAATTATTTTTCTTTTTCTTCTCTTGTTCACTCTCGCTCTTTTTTCTTTTTTTTTCTCTTTCTCTTTTTCCTTTTGTGCCCTCGTTCTTCTATTCCAAAACATTGAACGTTTATATACATGCATATATATATATATGCATGTCTCTCAAATAAAAAGAAACGCAAAAAAAAAAAACTAACGCCCGCTGCTAATTATGTCTTATTTCGTGATTACTGATCGCAAAAAGCCGAAATAGATGATTACGATCTTCTAACAGTGGTCAGTTAATTGAATGATGATGACGATGACATATCGGGTGTGGCAGTTTTGAACGAACATAAGAAGCATGAATGAATTTTTTTTTTGTTTGATCATTCATTTGGAAATACAAGTAATGATGACCAAGGCCAAGTGAACATATTATATACGGTTGAGCAGTAATGATCGTTTTTTCTCTCTTTCTCTCCTTTCTAATCATAAGCAGGTAGTGAAGTTGACCGACGTTAAACTTAAGACGGAAATAAACATACTATGTGGCATTTTCCAGACGAATTCTTTCAAGCTGTTCGAATCTGATGTAACCAAATGTTAACATAAAATGATAATCAAAAAAAAAAAAAAGAACATCTGCCGCTACATCAGACAAAGATTTATGTCAGAATAAAAACGAATAAATTGAATTATAACGTTTTTTTGTTTTTTCAAAATTGATTTTAAATTGTTATTTATAAAAATGATAGTTATGTGAATATAAAGTTTATCTCGTCTATAATTTTCTTTTTATAAATAATTCAAAAAAAAAAAACAACATCCTTAAGGCAATTCGATTTATAAAGTACTTAAAATGAAAAAAGAAAGCTGTATTACTGAATTAATCTTTTAACTCTTATGTATCGGGAAATTTTATTTTACGTAAGCTTCTAAAAACAAAAAAAGATCATTTCATTATATAGAATATGAAATGTTTAACATTTTCTTTTCTTTTTGTATATTAAAATTCAAATTACATAAGAGAATGTCTGTAATTCAAACAAGTCAAGATAATCATTACAATCATTGAGACAACTAAAAACGGTAATGTATACTTTTGTTTCATGCAATTTGTGGTCATACATTGACATTTGATAGGCATAATATTACAAAAGTATTTTATTGTGATGTACAAAGTTAATAACAATCTGAAAAATGAGTACTTGATCGTTTACTATACAGTAAAACACGTTCGTAATACTGCAACTAAAACAGACGTGCTTATTTTTTTCTGAGAATTTATTGTTGATAAAGACTATTGAAAAATTTAAAATTCGTAATCTACTATTTTTATTTAATAAGATAATTAATTTCTTATCGGAATTATTAGTATAATTAATATAACAAAATGAAAGTTTCAATCGATTTGTTATGATTGTTATAGGACAAACTATAATTCATAGTAGACTATCATTTTTCTTTGATTTTGTTTCAGATAGTGATTTTAATATTATCTAATGCATACTAGAGCAAGATTTCATAGATAAACTATGATGGCAAAGTTTCTATAAAATTGAACGATGAAGTTCATCGAGTCGGGAACTAATTCGATGAGTTCTAGTAATCTGAGTAATGTGTAGAGTAGAAAATTTCATTGCGAGTACTAAAAGTCTCTCCTGGACACGATCATTTTTCAGGTCTCAGAAGACTTTGTCGAAGTCATTTTAAAGAGAACAAAATTTTGAACAATATAAGTGATCGCCACGCTTTCTAGGACTATCACTTAAAATTATGTTTTTAACTTCTCAAGGGAAGGTCGTAGAAAATGTGGCAACTCCTCGTTTTCTTTAGAATTTTATACTTTTTAAAATAATTTCGACAATGTTTTATCGTGTTCGATTTTTTTCGGAATTTGAGCTAATTGCTTAACACTATAGAAAAATTCATTGTTGTCAAACTTTTTTTCTATTGTCCTTACTCGGATATAGAAATAATCAAGAATTCTATTTTTTTCTCTTCAACTTGATGTTTGTCTTGGCATTATTACTAATATTTTGCAGTTCCTTACAATTGTAACTTAAATCTACTTATTAAATTTTTTTCGATATTTTAAAAAGCGGGATAGTTCTGTAGCAATCTTGTATTTTGTTTTGTAATATTGAATAAAATAATGTCGAAAGAATTATTTAATTATCTATTAGATTCGAATGATAATGTTCGATTGGAACCTGAATCGATATCTCTTCAACATGATTTACCTCGAATACCTGCTCCTATTTGTTCTCATTTATGTATACGACATCGTCTACTTCGTCTTAATTATTATATTGCTTCGCCTCATCAATCATATATTGCTTTATGTAAAAAACATTTACATAGACATTTACAAGTAAATGAAGAAGAAAAATTCTTTTATATTTCAAATAAAAATTCAGAAATGATTTCTAATATTAATCATTTAATTAAAAAAATGACTCATAATAATAATCATTGTTGAATTAAAATAAACAAATAAAATCTTTTCTTAATACTCAATTAATTATTCATTCATTTAATAATTTTTATAAAGAAATATATCATTCATTTTTTTAATACTTACAAAGATCTTCATCATCAATATTAGATAATTGCGATTCTAATCGAGATAAAGAACCGTGAACCGTAACAACAAGTATAAACCATAGTAACCCATACATATTTTGCTGATGAAATGACAAGGAGTAGCAATGAAGAATATCAAGAAAAAAAAAAAAAAGAGAAAAAGAAATTGATCAATGTCTCTCTTTATTGAACAATATGATAAATGACGAACGGATGGGCTATTCAATTACAGATTGCGCGAGTATATAGTCGATCGACTCCATCAATAATCATTGTCAGCTTAAGCAGGTAGTACTCAATAGATAATTAAATTACTCGTATATGAGTATACTTATAGTTCGCTAGTCATATCGGATATAAAAAAGAGTTGTTCATTTGAAGAAGAAGAAAAAGAAGAAGAAGAACATCAATCGAATGTTAATAGTCAAGTATTTCCTTCTGGATGATAATTAGACCGTATGGTTTCTATATTTATTCGAGTTGAACTCGAAATTTACCTAAATGTCAAACGGTTATTGAATGATGTCATTTTGAGCTTTAGGAAAAAAAAAAGTGCATATGATTGATTATTCTCATTGTTATTTTGCACTTGAACGTCTTATGTACACAAATAGATGATTAAGTTTAGAAGACGATATAACGTAAGAAGAAGAAAAAAACCGAGAGAGAAAGGGAATCTCAACATCTGTTTATCAATATAATAAGAAAAACACCATAAGTCTTATTCTTGATCGAATAGTTCATTTAATTATAGTGAAAAAAAAAAGAACATGATTCAAGATGATGATTACATTGTATTTATTGTTAGATTCGTTACAATTAATCTAGACATATTGATTAATGATTTAGATATATGTAAACTCTTGATATTTCTTATAAATTTTTTTTTTTTATTGAACATATATATATATATATATAGTTATTTTTCTTTTTCATTAATATTTTTTATTTTCTTAACAAAAAAATTTAGTTCATCTAAAAAAAGAAATAATGTCATTTTATGTTAAGTTTTAGTTTTACCCCATAATGGGATATTTTTATTATGATCAATAATCAATGATCGTTCTGTTTCTTCAGAAATCTTATCTACTAATGCATGATGAATTTTATTGTTATCATTTATAGTTGATGCAAGTTTAATTTCATCAAGCATAATTTTAATAAGTTCACAAAAACGTTTTGCTGATTCAAAATATCCATATCGATATACCATATATTTCCACATCATTTCAGCATATACATTTTGACTTCCAAATAAACGATAAGTACCCATTAATAGACTATCTCGTTTTATATTATGATCTTCATGTACAGCAAAACAATTTGAAGAAAAACTTAATACCATAAGTAGAAGTTTAACAAGTGTTGCATCAGAATCAAGTCTTATTGTAATAGATTTTACATATTCAACATTATCAAATCCATAAAGTGGTGTCATAATATTTTTTCTTTCCCAATCATCAAACATATGAGATTGATGACATATAACCATAGAATAAAATGCCCAAATACCATGCATATTACGTTGAACAAGTGAACATTGTTCATCTGTTGTCATTATTCGAAAATCAGCTGTTGAACTAATACATGATTGAATTGATTGAAAAATTATATTAACAATATTTTGTGATTGTTGTAATATAAATTGACAGTCTACTGAATTTTTAATAAGAAATTCAATAATAAATTGTACTTCAGATACAGGACTAAATGTATCAAATGCATGAACAACATTTGAAAGTAATACCCAATCTGGTTGACTAAGACAAGATATATCGTCAGAAAGAAGACTTAATGTAGGTAATGTTGTGTTAGACTAAAATTAAAATGAAATAAAAAGGATTCGAGCACATAAGAATGCATTTCAATTTCTTTTAATTATTCAAGGTCAATCTAATTAGAGTTCATAATTTAAATGAATTACAAAAAATAATTCAAAACTACTATGTTATAGAACAGATTTAGTCAGAGAATCTACTAGGATTTATAACTGTTAACGAAAATGTGGATATATCTACATATATACTCACTCGCATACCATTGTTAACAGTAGTAGACTCTGATAGATTTTGATAAGCCCTAATAGACTATAGTAGACTTTACTAAAACTATTAGTGAAAATTAATAAAAACTGAATTTTTTTAAATAATTCACTTTTGTTTTTTTTTGAATTAATTTATAATTCATTTGCATTATTCAGTGTTTAAGTGAGTCTTATATAGAATACAAGATCATGAGTTGTTGATGATTTTGATTTAACTAGAGGTGTCATTTTTACGTTTCGTTCCTAGGAACAGAAATGCATAATATTGTCACATAGACAGATACATTCCCATTCCTTATGAACAGAATCTATCTTCACGATTTACTAAATAGGCAGTTATTTATTGATACTAGCCAGCAATGTAGCCATTCGTTTGACCAAAAAACAAATAAAGGTAAAGAATTATTCTGATAACTATTTGTTTAGATAAAATTTTCATAATAGAACCATGTTCATTTAAAACAATATTTTGAATCTAAGATACTCTTGTACAGATTCATCTGCACCAAAATAATGGTTTAAGTTAGGTACGCTTCATACTCTTTTTATAACCTTTTTTTTTTTTTTTTGTAATAAAATTTTCACCCACAAATCTCCTCAAGGATATGTGAAAGAAAAAGAATTTACTTAAAAGTTCATTGCGGCGAGACGATTAAATTCATTGTTCTTGAAGAAATTCACATTTGAAAATTTTATGTAAAACAAGAGATCGTAGAAAACATTTTGTAAAGACATCTGGTCTCCGGGAATCCTTAGAGGATCAAGTTTGTCTAAAATATAGAATTTTCGATAAAAAATGACGAAAATATAGGATTTATTATACATTGTTTCTGCTCAATTTTTCTGATTTTATTAACTTCTTCACTTGTTATCTTTCTAATGAAACAAGCATGAACTTTGGACTTGCCATCAGGATTCTTATCTGATTCATTTCTTCTGATATGAATAGTTAAATCAAATATCATTAAAAACTTTAATTAAAGTTTTAGAACCTTTTTCACTAATCAATGAATAATGAAAAAAAAAAGGAGACCATAAATTTGAAAGGATACAACGAAAAAAAAAAAGCAAATATTATTTGTCATGATTAAAAGACAGCGAACTTTTTCTTGACAATTCGGCACAATCAAAAGCTGAAATTACATCCATGTGGAACTTTTAGCAAACGTTCAACACAATGATAATAATCATTCCTGAAGTTTTTCAACTGAATTGATTAAACTTTCCATTGATTTAGCAACTTCTCAATTTCGACATTTGTAGAACAACCAGGGAACAGAATATTAATATAGTTTCTCAGTTAGTTAATATACCATTCGGTACAGAATTAAATTCAGAGTGTATTCTTATGAAAGTCATAAATAATAGATCAAAAAAGATACATTCTCATGCAGGGGTCGTATTTATTCTACTACGAAATCTCTTGGACCTTTTGTTCTGTTGAGTTTGATTCAGATCTAATGTTATATTTCTAGAAACGTTAGCAACAAATAAGTACGGTTACAAATTGTTCGCTAAGTAAAACTATTAAAATGCTAAGTTGGTCTTTGCTAAGTAAAATTTCTATGTGCTCAGTAAAAAATATTGAACGCTCAGTTAATTAAAAGTTTCTCAGTAAAAAAAAAGTATTTGCTAAGTTTGATAGATAATCGCTAAGTCAAAAATATTTGTGTTAAGTTAATAAATCGAAATTATTACTGAGTAATTTCCAGTAAATGTAAAGTACGATTATACGAGATCAGAAAAATTTTTTATAATACTATAATGTATATATTGTTTTCTCTTGCTTTCCTTCTATCATCGTTTGACTGGTATCGTGATACATATGTCAACATTCAATTTCGAATCCATCGCAATCTCTGATGTTCACATTGAATTAGTCCATTATTGGATTGAGAAAAATTTTTTATTAAAACCATTATCACTCTCAAGATATACGCCGAATTGAAATTCTCATTGATGAACTGTGATGAAGCAATGATACTTCATATATTAAAATCATCAATGCAGAACCTACATTTAAATTTGACCTCTAATGGATAGTTTTCCTAAAAATTGTTCTTCTGTAGAGGTTCACGAATGTTACTTAAATTTGTATATCGACTATTGTATTTTCTAGAGTATCATTGCTGCAAGGCCATTTATCAACAAGAATTTCAATCTAGCATCTCTCTTGAGAGTAGCCGAGGTCTTAATTAAAACAAATTCCTCAATCCGACGTTGAACCGGCCCAAAGGGAGCACCCCGAGACTAACATAGGCGGATCTAATATTGAAGTAAATCCAACACTGGATGCTGACACACATATATATCACTTATAGATTTTTTTCGTTCTCATATTATAGGTGCGTGTTTTCTTACAAAATGGTCTAGTACAATTCTATTTGTTTTTCTCATGCTATTTCTTTTACATAAGATTTGTATTGCTTTATCGAGACTTCTCTTCTGTCTGGCACTTTTTTGTACGCTCTTCCCCTCGTTTTCTTATATACTTTTGCTGATCTGTCATTGAAAGTTTACATTGAATTAAAAAACTAAACTATAGCCACGGCTCGGAATGAGAAAAAAAAACCGACTTTGCGATTGTCCGAGCTTCTTCAAAGAATGTATTTGTAAAAATATTTTAGACAGAGCTATTAGGTTGAAGTTTTGTAAAATATCTCTATCAGCAAAGAATATATTCTTTCGATAAGACAAGAAAACAAGAACAACCACGAAAAAACAACAAAAGTTCTATTGATACAATAACTGTACAATTATCTTTTTTTACTTAGATATTCATGTCATTTTACTTAACAAAAATTATATATTTACTTAGTGATTTACAATATTTTACTAAGAAAATCAAACTGTGTTACTTAGAACTGTTTTCAATAAATTACCTAGCAAAAATTTAATTTTTTACTTAGTCTTTATTTAAATAGTAGCCAATAAGTACTACAATATCATAAACACAATAGGATGAAAAACTCTGTCTTCATCTCATCATAAAGAACACAGTTCACAAAATTTAAATAAAAATACTAAACCACGGAAATTGTCGTTCAGCTTCGCCCAATAAAGACTTCATTGTTTTTTTCTACATGCAAGAAAATAGAAAAGATCTAACTTAATTTGATTTGTTTTTAACTGGTACTAATTGAATATAATATAAGTCTAATTTTTCAAATTCTAAAGATAAATTTTAATTGTGTTTTGTTTTTCTTAATCAATTTTCGAAAAACAATGTCAATCGGAAAGCTTATGTTGATGAAATATAAAACGCGAAAATCAGTTAAAATCAATCTTTAAATTTAAAAATCACTAGCGCATTCAGTATTGAACAACACTATTTAAATATATCATCGTAATGTTAGAATTTTGTTCAAAAACATGTGATCACACACCGTATATGTTGTTGAACGTCTAAACACTACTAGAACAAAAGTAAAACTTACAGTTTTTCGATAAAATATAGGAAAAATAGGAATTTTTATGAAAATATAGAATAAAAATAGGACTTTTGCAAAAATATAGGTCGAATCGCAGTCCAGAAAGACGTATATCGATTGACTTATTTTGTGCTGATTTTCTTTGAAATCAAATGAGCTTGATTCTGTATGAAAACCAACAAACATTGGTTGAAAATGTTCAAAATTGGACTAAGAATTTTGTTATGTGGCTCACTTTTTTTTTTTTTAATATCATACAAAGTAGTTTGTTTTGTGGTATTTAAAAAGCATAATAAGTGCGAAGAAATTTTCATTAGCCCAATAATTTTAACGACAAAAGGAATACACATGAATATTTCAGATTCAAAATGTAAGCAATGGAAGACTGTATACACATATCTCAATTAGATTGTGTTTTTGAAAATCAAAAACCATCGAATTGTATTCTCATAGGCTTCCAGCCTTAATGTAAGAAATTATTACGCTTATATTAATAGAAAATATTTGTGAATTTTAGTCTTTTATTTCTATGTACTATCATTTAATAACTTACTTTTTCTTTGTCATCACGTCTCTACAGATAAAACTCAATCAACTTACAGTTGTTTTTTTTTTGAATAAGTCAGATTGAAATATTGTATTCTACAAGCTATAGAATATTGACATACAGCTATCTATTTAACAATATTACATAAAGATAAAACCCATGGGATCTCGATTCAATGTATTTTAGCTCCGAGCTTGACTGAATAAGTTTTTTTTTTCGATCCCGACTTGGAGCATATTTCTAATTTCTCAGATCGAAATACGGTCATTCGATTCGTTGGTATATATTCAGTGAAAGATTAAAATTTCAATAAAATGATTATAATTTGGAATAGAAGATCTAAAGAGATTTATTCTTTTGATGTTTGTTTATATCTCATTATGTTCTGCTTTATTCATAGAGCTCAAATTCAAGAACAATGAGTTAATATAAAAAGTTCCTCTCGTAAGTCTGATAGTTGCTTGGAAGATGCGAAATGCTTTTTTTTTTTGTATCGATTATTTGTGTTCTTCTACGAAAACACTTTACACATTTCTCAGATAATCTTGACGACGGATTTTGTAATAATTAAGTTATACTTGACTGTTTTGAATTCAAATGCGAGAGAGATATAGAGAATAGTCACACTATAGGTATAATTATTAGTTGTTCTCTGAATTGTTATGCGTCATTTATAATAACTTCATCATGTTATATCATTTGACATATCTCGATCTTTTCAAAATACGAAAAAAAAAAAATTTTTTTGCTTCCGGACTCATGAAAGAGAATACGAGGATATAGAAAATTTTTAAAATTAATCTTTTTAATAGTCTATTCTCATATCGTCCCTTCAAGAGTTCGGAGGCGAGAGTTTTTTTTTGTCTTTTTTGGAAGATGTCTGTATGTCAAATAATAGGACATGATGAAATTATTATGAATTGATAGAAACTCTTTTACTCCAACAAGTATTCATTACAAAACTTATATACTTTTCTGCCGTTAAGAATCATGAAATTGGCCTTGTTTAAACAGTGAAAGATTAATTCGATTATAACATACAACAATTCAGAGGACAACTCATGAGTATATTTATATAGATTTGTGAGATAGTTACTGTTAGCGGGTTCATCTCCTTGTTGTTAGATCTATCTTGATGTTATATAACCTTGATCACTCTTTGTTATTTGTCCTTAAGTTTGACCCTTGATCTAAGTAGTCGAGATATATATATGTATATGCGCGCTATTCCTTTTCTTTTTGGTTCGTTATGTAGCTCAGTTGTTAGACATGTGTGTGTAAGTGTGACGGGTAAAGATGTACGTGTCTGAGGACATTTCTTTGATTTAGTAAAAATAAATGGAAGAAGATTTATAACATCTTATTTCCCTAATAGTTACATAGTTGATAGATTTTTCTCTCAAGAACAGTATTAAAGAATTTAAAACATCACAAATATAAAAAGGGTAATAATAATCGGCCTAATTTTTGGCCTACGGCCTAAGCGAGCCTAAAAATATTATTGGTATGTTTTCCTTTTCGTATGAATCATCTGCAGAACGAAAAAAAAATAACCAATTATTTTCTTAGGCTCACGTAGGTCTTAGGCCAAAAATTAGGCCGATTATTATTACCCATATAAAAAAAAGAAAAACAAAACTGCAGAAGCTAATAAAAATATTAAAATTTTGACTACAAAGAATTCTATTATTAAATATATACGATTGAAAACTAGATAACACTCTATTAACGTAAATTTCAACAAAAATTTCATACAGGCTAGTTTGAAGTCATAGCGCATATTTTAATAGTTGGTTATATTATCTACAGATGCTATAATATCTCTTAACAGGTATATGAGCTTCTCAAAACATTAAAATTTGAGGAAAATACGATTTCTTAAACACTATTCGATTCAACACGAAGATAACTTTTCAAATCAAGGATGATTATTTTTTTTTTTCAATAGAATCCTTTTGTTTTAAATAATTTATACATACAGTGCTTGATGTTGGCAAAAGAATTTGTTGCTTTTTTAATTTTATTAATGAATGACTTTTTCCAGTAAGATCTTCTTTTCGAATACGTTCGGGACTCATTCCAACTGCAAGACATTTAGCAAAACGACATGCTGTACACATTCGTCTTGATTTCATTGTAATTTCACAATCTCCATTAAATTCACATTCCGGAATATCCTAAATAAAAAACGAAAAAGCAAAATTTTAATTAAAAAAAAGAAAAATCCATATTTCATATGATCAACAAACTTCAGGATGAAAACCATGACGACGAAAAAATGTTTTACAAGATGCACATGATAAAGCTCCATAATTAAAAATATGTGCTCTATCACCACACACTTGACAGTGATTATTAATATCTAATTCTATTGTAGTCTTATTAATACGTCGATGAATTGGTAATATTGACCATGGATATTTGAAAGTCATTTCAAATTTATCTAATAAAAATTTAATTATAATTTCATAATTAACATGAACAAAATTGAACAACAACAACAACAACCAAAAAGATTCTATATTAAAAATGATATATAAAATGATTTATAACTGTAGAAATTTTTCATTAATCTCTCTAGAATCATGATTATTACAGCTGACGTTTAATTTATTGCTTTTTTATTATTATACTAAAAATTTAATGTATTTTCTAGATAAAATATTTATAGCAGTTATATAATATTTATAAAGGTCACAGAAGCCATGATTGACTTAGTTTTTATAAATATATACGAATTTGTTATAGATTTGTTTTTCTTTTCTTGGTAAAAGTAATCATGAGAAAGAAAATAAACTTTTTGACAAATCCTATGACATACCTGCGTTCAATAATTTATATATATATATATCTTAGAAAATATTTGATTATATAAGACTATGTTAAGGTCGTAAATATGATGAATAACTACACGCGCAGCTATGTAATAACTTTAACGTCACACTTTATACGCATTTTTTTTTTTTTTTTTTTATAGAATGAACAAAAGGAAGAAAACAAAAAGGAATGTTTTTTTTACTCTTACCTCTCTTTTTCTCATCATTACCTATAACAAACATTTCTCATCATTTTCCTATACGTCGCACAATAATCCAAGAGAAAAATATAATCATAGTTCTGTAACTTTAATGTGTCGTTAGTAGAAAAATGGAATAAAGAAGAAAAAAAAATAAAATTGAATAACAATTCATTAACATGCTCTTTTATCAAAGCATACACCGTTGATAGATGTCTTGACATCAGTAATATGACACAAGCAGTTATGTAATGTTTGACGTAGTGCGCCTGCTGAATTGGCATATATATAAATACAATGATTAACAAAATTAATCAACTACTTCATCTGTTAAAGAAGTTTTTTTTTTTATTGCGTTGATGTATTGATCTAGGTCTTTGTGAACAAAAAGTTGTAAAAAAAAATGTTTTTTACTGATAATTTAGCCATTTCCAATGTATAATACATCATTAGAAAGAACATAAAAAATTAATGTTTAAATCAATACAACATAGGATAAATACCGTATGAGTATAGTCCCTAGTGTATTGTTTGTATTTGCACATAAAGCACTATAAAGACTTTGACAAATGTGCTAATTTTTAGCTCGAAAGATTTAAACTTATATTCGTGTCAGAATTAATTCGACCTTTACGTCGGTTCAGAGTTTCAAATCAAAATTTTTTCGATTATTAGCATAGCTTTAAAATGTCGTATCAATGAAGACTGTTTGTTAATACTTTTATTAGGCGTAACTCTTGAACACGCAATACGATTATTCTTTGTATACATAATTCTTCTACTGAATAATTTCTAAAAATGTTGAACACGTGAGTGATAAACCTCACGATAAATTTTCAATCTGTTTAATTGAAGAAAAAAAAAATATTTTGATAGATATAGGAAAGTTTATTTTGCATTTTTCTTAAAACTCATGTTTGAAAAACAAAAAAAAAAACTAAATTTTTCTCTCACACAATACTTTTTTACGAGTAGTTTGACTATGTGGAACTGAATGTTTTCGTTTTTTTTATTGAAAATTTTATTCCTACAAAATTTGGCAACCTTTAAAGTATTGATACCTATTGAAAAAAAACATTAATTTTTTTTGACGGTCTTTCGGTTCTCCTGAACACTAGAAATAATATTTACTCAAGATAAAAAACACGTTCCTTGATTTTATTCTAGTTGTCATAAAAACAAAACTCCGTTTTTTTTTTCGACATTTTAGTCACAAAGACTTAGGTCAGCATCTGAAATACGCATTTTGAAACTATTGTCACAGGTCAATACAACAAAAAAAAGTACTTAAATTTCTTCTTTTCAATGATGCATCATGCAGAAAATTTTATAAAATAATGTGCACATAAACATCACTAAAAGACATGTGATTGCATAATTTTCAAAGAATAAAGAAAAAAAAACATTTTATCATTATGTCGTAAAAATAACTGAAATACATGATGAATCCATCTGAGAATAAAGATTATATAGTCTATGTTATGAAAAGAAATCTAATTGGTCTAGTTCATGCAACTTTTAAGAGATAAGTAAAATAAAAAAGATTCTTGATCCTGCTCGAATAACTTTGATAACCATCGTATATAATGTGTACTCACACACATCAAGCTTCTCGATATGACAGTCTTAGTTCTATTGTGCGACAGTTAGTCAAAATATGTTTTTTTTTCGTAAATCATTTTCGATATGAGTAAATTATTATGAATACGAAAGAAAAAAAAATATACGATAATAGTCAAAATAGATGAGATAATTTTTCAGAAATTGAACCAATTACAGATAGATACTGATGCATTCACGAATATAAAAGACAAGGTATTACCTTAGTATTACTAGAACATATATTAATATCTTCATTATATATTGTATTCTTCGCTTGTTTCTTTCTTTGATCGTCGCTTCTCAACAACAACAAAAAAAACAACACATTTTTACTAAACACTCAACTATTTAATAGATTTTCATAGCTATTTAAAGATGTCAAAGCTAGAATGTACCCAGCGACCTTTAGTCTAGGTTGATAAGGTATATAACAGGAATGAAAGAAGAAAACCGTAAAATTTTGAATTGAAAATCATACTAACATTTTTTTTTCTTCATAAAATATATGTAAGTTTAGCAAAAAAAAAGCATCGAAAAGAATAAATTAATTACTTCACATTTCATACAAATTTATTCAGTTTGAACTTAAACACTTGATTTGTTCTTAGTGCAAGAAGAAAAAGCAAACATTTTTTTTTTTATTCTTTCATTATTTTCCATATAATACCTTTGTTTATCATTCACAAAACAGTGAACTCACAATTCAAACGCATGTCATTACATGTGGATTCAATGTGTTACTATTTTGACTCAAATATCACATCTCCAAGAATAATTAATTAATAAGTTTTTCGTTACAATCATTTGATCAGATCATATGTTGCAAGTTTTTATGATATATCTTAATTTGGAAGTCATTTGTTTTCTTGTATTAAATAAGTAAGATAAACATTTTTTTTTTCGAATGATACTGATGATTACAATTGAATTAACTTTTGTAATGCTGTGTATAATGGAGACCTCTATATCGGAGAGGGATTATAACGAATCAAGATTAATTAGTATGTTGCGTATACTCAATGTTATGTAGTTTAGTTGCTGGCGAAAGAGATTCGTTCGATAGAGAATAGCAAAGTAAAAGATTGATTGATTTCAAGCTCTATTGTTTTGGTACTACTCTACCTATTTTACTGTGCTCTTGTGTTCTAGCTTATAGATTTTGTAGTATATAGTCAAATGAATGATATGATTAAAAGATGCAAACATTTTATAAATATGTGAGGAGATGACAAAGAAAAAAAATATTCTGCTTGTTTCAGCCATTGATACATCATTACAAGTGTTAATTAAATCAAAAAAATAATTTTCAAAATGTACATGTTCATTTAGTTTAATTTATTATTTATTTGATGTGTTTTATATATTGATTGGAAATTTATTCAAATTCCGTCATTCTTGATCAATGTTCAGATATGAACAAATTCTTAATTTGAAAGTTGATCGTGAGTACACTAAGACTTCGATAACTTTTCAGAAAAATCATAGAAAACTATTAATTAAAACTGATGTACTTTTAATTAATAATATTTTCGACTTTTCAGTTCTAGATTCATCGAATTTCATTTTGTTTAATACGATTTTATCTTGTTTTAATTATTTTTTGTTTTGATCAATTAATTACGAAACAACATTTGAAGACAACAATATAAATGGATGAATACATTCTGTTCAATTAATTTTTCCAAAAGAATTTTCTATGAAAGAAAAAGAAAACATTTATAAAGATTATATCATAGTAGCTCAGTAATTGCTTAAATTTTTACTCAAGAGAAAGAACTTACTCTTGTCTTTCTCTTCACCTTACGTACAAAGTTTTGTTTTATTCTTTTTTAAAAATAAGTATTTACTCTTAAATCTATTTTTTTGTTTTGATTCAATCTAAACAGAAAATAAAATAATATTATTCAATTAAAATTGCTTTTGATTATGTTATTCGAATTATTCTAAATGCAAAAAAGCAAAAAGATTAGTTTTTTAATACTTATTATTATATTTATTGTAGAATTCAAAAAAAGAAAAATCGATATGCTTGATAAATGCAACTCGACTTAAGGCTAACTTATGATTATATACTAAAATATGTATGATAGTCGTTTACGTTCATCGCATACGTTATTCGTGTTTGAATCAGAGATGTCCATCGCGGCGCGCGAGAAATTTGAAAATATCATTGCGGTAGCGGCAGGATCCTTTTAGAAGACATTGCCAAAAACTTCATGAATTTGCCAAAAATTGAGTGTCCACAAACGTAACACTCTAAGACTCAATGAATCTCATCGATTAGTGACAAGAATTATATTTCAATACATTCACAGCAATGAAATTCGAAACTTTTTTTTCGAGTACCATCGCTGCAGCGGCACACTTTCTGAAAATTCATCGCGGCGCGGCAGCGACAGATTTCGAGCCGCGATGAACATCTCTGGTTTGAACGTTTGGTATCGTATACGATAATTGTTTTTTTAATATACTTCGTAGCATATGACTTTTTACGATATTGAGTTTTTTTCGGTCTCCATCCTTTGCCGAAAAAAGTTTATGTCCAATAGCTAAAGACATCAAAAATAATGCTGGAACGATCAAGCAAGTATTTCATAATGATTTAAATAAAAATATTACCGAAAATTTTTAGGAAGAACATCAGCCATAGTAAATTGTAAAGAATAATGTTTACTAATAAAAAAAATATTTACAAAAAAATGATATTATCTGAGTTAATAATCGATTTAATGTCAATAAATGCATCGGACTACATAAAATAGAAGATATTCAGCATTAATGACAAGCGTATTGAGTATAACGTGGGATGAATTT